GGAATGTACCTGAGACCAGATTATAAAATGGTAATAGCAACCTTTTCCTGCTCTGACAGAACAGGGACAACACTATTGCAACTGAAAAAAACTGCCACGCATGGTATTTCATCTCCCCTTGGGTTTTTTTTTCTGTGCCTTAAAACAAACAAACAGAAAAGTGATAGACACAAGGAAAAAAAGGGGGTGGGGAGACTCACTGGAGAATAATTAGGGGGAAATCCATGCACAGAGACAGAAAGATACCTGCGAAAATAAGAGCATTTTGAAAGAGAAAAAATGAGATTAGAGTCTTGATGGAGATGTGAAATTCCCTGGGTCTCCAGAGTGCTTGTACAGTACCGTCCCCCAATAAGGAAGCTGCTTTAAGAGCACAAGAGGCAACAAAACGGGATGGCCTGACAGCAGTTTCCAAGCCATAAGCATAAACTTAGATCAAAGCAAAATACAGAGGTGTCCCTTCGCCTGGCTCTGCTCTTAAGTACTGCTGGTGGAAAATCTGGAGTGACCTCAGTGAAGGCAAATGTTACACATTTCATGTAAAAGGGCAGAAAGCAAGCCAAGATTCCCGAGAGCTTCAAAAGTCAGCTCCCCTGCCTGCAGCCACGTAACCCTGCGCCAGCACCAGCACCTTGGGAGCAGCAATGGTCAGGGAGCCAAGAAACAGCTTCAGAGCAAGCGCTATAATTTCCTGGGCTTAGGTGACCAAAGGAAGGTTTAGTGCAGTGACACTGTCCTAAAAGGCATCTTACATCCTTCTGTCTAAAGCACTTGTTCGCTTTCCTTGCTACTTTTAAACGCCAATGTCCAGAAACACTGGTGTGAAAGGACATTTTTGTTAAATAGCTGGAATAGCCAACGGTGTAAAATAGTTTCTGAAGAATATTGAAGATCACCATTAAGTCTTTTCAGTAAATCAGGGAAGAGCAAACCTGAATTTCTGGAGCTTAGAATTAGGTACAACCTCTTTCCTCTTTAAATTTCCTTTCTCTTAAAAGTGTACCTGAATTTCATAATTTCATGCCTTCCTATACAGAGAAGTGTTAGGTGCAGACATGCAATTTGACAATATTTCTTTGCTGTTGCACTTAACGTGACAGTTATATGAGGTTATATCTCTCACAAACTTTCTGCACTGGGCTCAGTTACACTCCTGATCCACTTGATAACCTAAGCGTTCACTGCAGCCTGAAGTCTGACAAGCCCAGCTCTTATCGATAGTTGTGTTCAACCTAAGGCATGCTCCTCCTTCCGCCAAATGACCAATCTCGTGTGTGTCCCAGGGCCTCCTGCTCTGTGCAGGCACCCTGACCTCCACCTTCTGCCCCATCACCTTCTTGCTGGGACCACAAGACAGGGAGGAGAGCATGGCAGGGGCAGCCTGCACACAACCTCTGCCCAGGCCAGAAAAATCCTCTGCCTGGTCAGCAGATGGCGGCAATAAATTGCTACCAAACTAACCCAGGCCAGCTGCAGGAGGAGGATTGTAACCACTCATTTCCCTGGCCCTCCCAGGGTATAGAGCTCTCCATCCAAGGTGGGGAAAAGGCTGATCCACCACCACTAAATGGCAACCGCTGCACATCAAGAAAGGGACATAAGAGCAAGTCAGTCAACTTCTCATCCACAGCTCACAGACAAGTCTACCAAGGGAATAAGGAAGCTCTGGTGCACAATTAGTAGATCTACCCTGGTGCCATGTGCTTTTGCTTGATGCAGCGGTAAAGAACTTGCTCCTGCAATCTCACCTTCAGGGCAAACCTCTCAGGAGGAGTCACTACAAATGAGCAAATTAAAAGGCAAACAAGAGCATAAATCTGTTTCTAGAGTTGTAAAAGCCATGTATGCAGGGGTGGGGAATAACAAGGCAACAAACTTCTGCTGAAGAAAAAACATCTGAATGCATTCAAACTTTCCAAAAAGATCCATACCAAGACAGTACGAAGATGGACTAAAGAGATTTAGAAACTGAGAGCAAGGAAGAGCTGAAGCACGTCTTAGCTGAACTGCAAGGGGAGAGATAGGTTAAGGGTCTGTAGCCCTCCATTAATATTGCCTGACTTTTGTATTTCTGAAATACCTGACAAGGAGCAAACATTCTTCTATCCCTGCTTCAGAGCACAACTGCACCAGCGCTCATTACTAGCAAGAAACTTTGCTTGCTATTAGAATTATTTTCCCCTGTCAACTTGGCATTTATGTCCAAGAGCAGTAGAAACTTTCCCATTTCCTCACCTATTTTGTTCTTGTAAATGACAGTGCTTTGTCCACTTATTGCAATGGGATGAAAGGTCTGCACTATGGCACTGTGTAATTACCACCAGGAAAGAATTTTTTTTTCCTATGTGAAGAGGGAGAAGGTAGATAACGTTTAAATGGCAATGGCCTAGGGGGAGGGGGGAGAGGGGAGTGGAAAGACCAAAACAAAACCAAAAATATAAAGAATGAGCCGTATTCATCACATGTTATATTTCTGAGCACAGACCCTGGAGGTAGATGATGACAGACTGCTGGTAAAGCTCTTGTGACAGAAGTTTGCACCACCACAAGAACCAGGAGATTTTAATCTTACATACAAACATTCACATCACATTTCACTTAATGTGCTGATGCCAGTCTCTGCAAGGATTGGAATACACCTTAGGAACTAATGGTATTCTCTTCCTCCAAAAACCTCGCCGCCTATTGACTGGCCCTCTCAAAGGCTCTGAGCAGTTCCCACCTTCTACACTGCAAAGAGGAAGAACTGGGAGTCGACCATCCAGCACCAGAGCATCAGGAAGGGAGGCGCAAAGCCGGGGCCAGAGGCCTTGCTGTGCCATCGACTTCATAGTAAAAGCTCGAGCTAGCAAGTGACGGCTGCATTGTGGCATTCAAACCACAGCGTGCCTTGAGGAGGAGGAAGTTTGCATCAGTAGGAGTCCCCAGAGGCATTCTGCGTGACTCATTCTGAATTCCTCTGAGGGTGCTGGGGAAGCGTGCGATGAAAGCTGGGGTTGGCGGGGGGGGGGCGCGGTCATTCTGAAGTGCCCTGAGGGTGGTGGGGAAGCGTGCGATGAAAGCTGGGGTTGGCAGGGGGGGGGGGAGGAGGTTGTAACTCTAGTTAACATGGTGCAGCAGAGAAATGGAACGTTAATCTAACATTACTGGTGGGCTGATGACATTTGGGGACACAAAAAGGAGCACTGGCTCTAGCTCCTGAGCAAGGGCACAGGAGAGGTATCTCCATAAATCCTCTGCCCTTTCACTTGGGAGAGCAGGGTGGCCACAATCCAACCTTCTATATGTCCAGCCATGCACTCAAATATCACCTCAGTCTTAAACCTCTAGATTATTCATGGATTAAGAGAAGATTTTATAAACCCGCATTAACTGTGGGACAGTTTAAGATGCCTGCTCTGAGGACAGGCACGTGTAGAAGAAGGATGAGAAAAGGGTACTTGGATACCGTGGGGGAAGAGTGATTTAAACAGATGTTTGCAAGACACTAGGAGGACAGGAGGGATGGACGAGGCTGTAAAGATGCCAGGTGGATGGAGAATGAGTAATGAACATAAGGCTGGAAAAGGCTACCCATATCACTGGGTACAGTCCCAGCAAAAGACATGGTTGTCACAAATGTTTCATTCAAAAGAGTCTACCGAAAATTTACTAGCGCAATGAAGTAGACTCCCCCAAAAGTATATTGAAGCAATAGCCTAGAACATGAAAATAAGTAGAAATAGAAGAAAAAGAACGACAAAGAATGGATTCATGGAAGTTCGGCATCCCTTCCTCCAGTAGCTCTTAGACAGCTCATTTCAAAACCGTACCACATTTGCAAGGGACTATCACAGGCAAACACACTCTCTGACATCCTTTAAGGGCTGTTTTCAAAGGAAGACAGGCTTTCCTCTGCTCACCATGCACTAGATGAAACTGTCTGACACACTTTGCAAGTGCAAATTAGAACCACGCTACTTACCATCAACCCCTTCCTGCAAATTCATATCTGCAAAGAGAGAGTAAACTAGAAACCCCAGGTGCTGATAACATAGTTGTTAAGAGAAACTAGAGTAGGAAGGAGTTAAATTCAGAACCTCATCTACCGCAAGCATTATAATACAAAATCTTTTTTTTTTTTAATGGGGAAAACACAAGAGCCTTGTTTAAACACAGATGGAAGTACCTAAATGCACTGCCTCTTCTACAAATGAATTATCCAGCAGTTCAAATAGAGGTGAACTAATACTGACAAAATCAAGTAAAACTCAGTCAACGTGGGAGGAAAAAAAACCCAAAACACTTCTCCTAAAAAAAGGTACCATGTGTTAAGAGGAATCATTTTGTTTGGTAACTCCTGCCCTATCTTATCTCTTAAATGTAGTGAAAGTTTATAAACATTTGCAGGCGGTTCTTGTAACAACCACCATCATGAGAACTCTATGCTGCTGCAATAAAGGATTCATGCTGCCCTACAGATCTGATTTTCAAAGCTGTATATCTGGATTCAAAACTACCCTGGTGGGAAAACCCAAAATTTGGAGCATCTATATGATTATTCATGCTGTAGAAATTATTCATGTACATTTTAATTTAAATTCAATATATGCCCACAAGTAAAAAGTTATATAATAGGTATTACAGATCCATGATGATCTACAGAAATTAGTCTATAGGTCTATACTATTTGTCAGGGTTAAATATTTCCAAAAAGAGTACAGAATAACTATTCTACTGCAGGAACATGGTTCTATATGAGCAGCTGGAACCTGTAAGAAAAGGACTTTATTCCCTTTTTATTTTGCGTATTTGTAGAGTATTTTCTATAGAATCCCCTCAGTTATTCAGCTGCACAGACTGGATCAAAAATGCCTACACAAAGTTTATCATATTCTATTCAATTCTCCAGGCATTTTTCATAAAGGCACAGTTGAATAGCTTTAGCCCTTTAGCTGTCAAATTATCACATATAAAGATACAGGACTCCAGCTCAGTGGTTTTCAACCTTTATGCTCTGCAGCCCCGAAATGTTTTTCAGGAGAGACAAGCCCTTTTACTGAGAGAGTTAATCTACTGACAATAAACATGTTTTTTTAAGTTACCTTTCGCAGAATTCTTCTGAGTTACCTTAGGAGTGATCCGCGGACCCCCAGGGTTTGCAGAGCAGAGGTTGAGAACCACTGCTCCAGCTGAGGCTGCCTTTTCAAGCAGTTCAGTCACAATTTACTCCATGAGAGGAACGAAATAACACTTTCTCCTGAGAA